GTGATTTATTTATTTACCGCACGTGATTTAGACTTACCATTCGCATAAATATGGTGCCAAGTTGTCTATCTTATTTTGCACAATTTTCAACGAAACACCATTGATAATCACCCATGGAACACCTCTATGTTTGTCAGGCCAGACGTTTTCTAAAGCCAACTTTGAGAAACTGAAGACTTGATAATTTTTTTATACGTAAATGAAACTAACCTGTTTTCTCAGCTGCCTCCAATTGGAGCTTGTATCCACGATCTGAAGTAAAACAAGATCTGAAAAGGTGTACTATAGATATTTCATATTTTATCTTTTGTGGAGAGAAACTGTAAGTTGGCACGAAGCTTAGCTATGCCGATTTTGTTTAGTGCGCGCAAAACTTCCTGATTTTCCCATTTTTACACCAGAGCAACATTTCAAAAAATGAAAGTCCAAATTCAAAATGTGGACCGAAATCTGATAAGAAACGCACTCGATTCTGTCTTGTATGCTCTGACTGATAGAATAATTGGCGAAACACTGCTTTTTAGCTTCTTCAAATCTGATTTTCCGCTGAAAAAAACAATACTGTTATAACAAGGAACATGCACGGTTGTTCATTAATCTCAGGGTAAGGACAATAAATGTTGATGTTCTGTTCGTAAATCAACAAAAAATGCTTGAGAAGAAAGCCTAATAAGATCTCTAAGAACGATAATGCTCAAATACTTATTTAATTGACCATCAACAGCTTTTCCATACAGTGCATCAAGGGCACGATTTTATCCTGTGTCGCGATAACGTCGATCATACATGAATGATATTTGTTGATTCTACACTCTTCTTCTTTATGCTGACAAATGATTTCTCCATTCTGTAAATTTAAAAGTTTACCAACTTTGATGAAGAGGCAGGGAAAATGAGTAAGTACTCACCTCGATGTGTGCATTACCGTAAGGTACAAATTCAATATTTACAAAATCAGCAAACTTCTCGAAAATGATAGGATAGAGTTGATTGACGAAAAATCGTTGACAGTCGATGCAGAGAGATTCGGTTAGGATGGTTATGTTAAGACGTTCGTCATAAGTGGTCGCATTATATCTGAAACGAGTTCATCCTTAAACTG